CATCCCCTCCCCCCTGGCATCTGATTACCAACCCCCCAAACATCCTCCAGAGCCAGAGTAGCCACGCCCATTTCTTACTCCCAAAACTGGTATATAGTCAGTATTTGCACTCCCCCTGCTCTACTGTCCTGGCCTACCCACATACCTATCTGTTCCTGTGTTTCAAACTCTTGTATTTCTGTACTACCCCTCCCCCTAATCAATGATCAATGGTATCAGATGGTATATTGGTTTTTTTTAGTTACTGGATGGGCCCCTCCCAGCTTTGTCCAAAATGTCCCCTTTTACTAAACTACAAACTGAGATGTTTAATTTACTTTAGAACTAAAGATTTAATCAAGCCTAGATATCAGGGTGGACATTGATTAAAATAAGTAATAATAAAATAGGACATAATTAATTAAAGTCTATTTGTTTCATTTGACTTTAGGGAGGCACTCTAGGCCACCTACTGGCCATCTTCGGGAGTTACATTGATAATACATTGTTTATAACAGATAGATGTAGGATTGCTTACCCTATTTTAATATATTTATTGCTATAAGGTTTTATTTTATGTATAAATATATTAAAAGTTGAGTTTTCTTATTAGACCCATAAAGATTATTTTGATACAATTACCCTCTGGTGACACCTACTGGTAGGTTTTTGGTTTAACACTTTAAAAAAAAACGTTTTTTCATCCACCAAATGCTGACTAATAAAATTAGCTCACCCCCTTACACCTATCTTACTACTCCTAGACTGGAACCTATTATTGGGCAGCCTTGCCGAAGTCCCATATTAGACACTGCTTGAGTCAAATAGGTTGTATACTCCCTTTAATCCAGAGGCCCCTGAAAACTTCCGAATGATAGACTCAGCATTTGTCAGCCAGGCCCAAGGTGATAGTAAAAGGAAATTACAGAAATTAGAGGGATTTGTAGGGATGTCCATAATACAGCTAATGGAGATTGCAAATACAGTATATATGAATAGGGAGACGGAGGAAGAACGTAAAATGAGGAAAAAGGAAGATATGCTAGCGGTAGCTATCTTAAGTGTAGAAAGACAGGGAAGTGAATAGAGGAGACGAGAATAGGCTGAGCAAGGGACTTTAAGTAGGAATTAATGTGCGTATTGTAGAAAGGAGGGACATTGGAAGAGTGAGTGTCCACAGAGAGAGTAGTATGAAGGTGATAGACAGGAGAGAGAAGGGTACGAGGAGGTTATAGTGGTAGTTATAGAGGAAGAGGAAGTTTTAGAGGGAATGGTGGGAATTGTAGAGGAAGTGTTCAAGGAGACAGATACTATCCACCCACGCAGAGACCTAGAGAAAGAGAGGATAGAGATTTTGTGGGTCTGGCTGACACTATCATGGAAGACTATTGATACCGACTGGGCTCCATCCCACTTGGTCGAGCGGAGCCTATGGTCGATGTAGCAATAGGGGGAAAGAGAAGTTCTTTCATGATCGACACAGGTGCTGAACATTCTGTGGTGACTAAGATGGTGGCTCCGCCTTCGGGGAAGACTATAACTGTGATAGGAGCTACTGGGAGAAGTGCAGCTAGACCGGTTCTTAAGAGTCGCACTTGTATTCTGGGAGGCCATGTGGTGAAGCATTAGTTCCTATATATGCCAGAGTGTCCGATTCAACTTTTAGGACGAGATCTATTATCGAAGCTTTAAGCTCAGATAACCTTTTACCTAATGGATTAACATCTCTGAAGTTTAAGGGATTACCAGGCATAATGGTGATATCGGTGCCAAGGGAAGAAGAATGACGCTTCTATTCCATAGTGACAAGTGTTAACCCTAAGAGTGATGAATCCTTACTTGACATTCCAGGAGTATGGGAAGAAAATAATCCTCCAGGACTTGCTCGTAATATCCCACCAATACATATTGAGTTAAAGCTCGGGGTGTATCCTGTTAGCCTTTGTATGTTGTTCTTTTATCTACCCCAACAGCTGTAAAGGTGGCGGAAGTGACTCCTTGGATTCATCATTCTAAGGTTAAACCAGCAGCAGACTCTTGGCAAGCTACTCCAGATCCTGAGAATCCTTGCAGGACCCGGTTGAAGCGTGCAACTCAGTCGGAGTGACGAGGGGATATCGAGACATTCTAGTTAAAAGTCTACAAAGATCATCAAGTAGGTGTTTTGACGGCCATAATAAAGCCTGACCACCTGCCTACGTGTCATAGCCAGAGTATCTTGAAGGGATCTCTGTGAAGGAAAGTGAGGATCAGAAGAACAACATCCTTGCAGCCCTCACAATCGGGAAGCTGAGAGGCCATCGCACGGTCGAAGAAAAATGAGGATTTCAGGAATAATGTGTTTTATTGTGTCTTAGTATTTTTATGATTTTTCAGGAAGGTAGGAGTACAGACATACCGAATTGCGATAGTTGCATTAAGACTACTAAAACAGGTAACCAAATATCCCAAACTCTCATCTAGCACTCACAGTATGAATGTAAGGGATCTGTATCTAAATGTAGATATTTGGATATTGATTATAGTGTGTGCAAGCCAATATCAGGAGAGTCTAAATGTTTTGATCCCCATTTCCAACCCTGTACAATTTGGTTGGTAATTCGGAATAGTAACTCCCAGGGGACATTACTAAATAGGACTGTGATAAGCGCCATACATTCCACGGGTATTCTACTATTTGATGCATGTAAGGCGATTTCGGGTAGTGGAAGACTTTGGAATGTATGTGGTAATCTTAAATGGGAACGAACTTATGGGTTTAATGATAAATACTTATGTCCCAGTAAAAGATCTACTGATCCTGATTGCCCAAATAGAGACTAACTTCTGCCCCTATTGGTCATGTGTAGGTTGGGCAACCTGGGAAAAACAGTGGATCAAGATATGATTATCCAAAGGTTGCCTACCACACCATACTGTAAAACTATGTGTGTAACCCCGTTCACATGACCATTTCCAATCTGCAGTACTTTATTGACAGGTTTGGAGGTCTGTTTGGGTTTCAAATATATGGCACAAAGATTCAGGAACAATAATATATGTAGGTCTTGAAACTGAGACAGTGGCAACTCAAACTCATCAGGTTTCTCATTCCTTCTATGAGGAGATGAGTACTGAGGATAAAATTCCCCATAATGTTAACAACCTATTTATTGATTTGGCTGAGGGTATTGCAGGTAGTCTTAATGTAACTAATTGCTATGTGTGTGGAGGTACTAATATGGGAGACCAGTGGCCATGGGAGGCAAAGGAAATATGGTACCCTGGCTCTGAGACATATGAACAACAGATACCTTTCCAGTCTGATCATCAAGTAAGTACTAGAAGTAAATTGGAATGGTGGTTAAAAACCTCCATTATAGGTCATGTTTGTATAGCCAGGAAAGGGACAATGTATAACACGTCTGTAGGTGAGCTAACGTGCTTGGGACAAAAAGCCTATAATGTTAATACTAAAAATACTACTTGGTGGTCAGCTTCAAATGTCTCGGAACCTACTAATCCGTTTGCCAATTACACTCATTTAAAGGAGGTATGGTTTGACTTATCGGCTACATCTAGTTGGAAAGCCCCAGCAAATTTATACTGGATTTGTGGTAAGAAAACTTATTCGGAGTTACCACAAGATTGGGAAGGGGCATGTGTATTAGGTATGCCAAAGCCATCCTTCTTCTTGTTGCCAATCGAAACAGGAGAGACCTTGGGAGTTAAGGTTTACGATGTAAATCATAAAAGGGAGAGAGCATCCTTGAATACAGGTAGCTGGGAAGATAATGAGTGGCCCCCTCAACGTATTATTAATTATTATGGACCTACTACTTGGGCAGAAGATGGCACTTATGGATATAGAACTCCGATTATATATGCTCAACCGCATTATTAGACTACAGGCGGTAGTTGAGATTATTACTAATGAGACAGCTCAAGTGCTTAATCTTCTAGCTAAGCAAAATACCAAGATGTGATCAGCCATATACCAGAATAGGCTAGCCCTTGATTACTTACTAGCAGTAGAAGGAGGTGTATGCGGAAAGTTTAATCTAAGTAACTGTTGTCTGCACATAGATGATGAAGGGCAGGCAGTGGCTGAACTTACAAGCCACATGGTTAAATTTGAGCATGTACCTACTCAGGTCTGGAATGGGTATAACCTAAGTAGTTGGTTTGGAAGTTGGTATGAGCAGCTTGGAGGAATTAAGACATTAGTAGGAGGAGTAGAACTTATTATTTTATTTTTTTGTGCCTCCTCCTGCCCTGTCTAATTCCACTAGTGGTAAGGTCCCTACGTAGCATTATAGAGAGTACTATAGAGAGAAAGACAGCTGCCCATGTAATGGCTGTCTGGAAGATATGATCCCCTAGCCCGAAGAGAATATATTCAGGATGAAGAATGTTGAAGGAGTTTTTAAGATGCTTACAAGGTCTACTCTTGTTCAATGGCTACTTGAGAGATGTAGGTAAAACTGTGATTGGTGATGCATCTGGAATAATGTTATATCAGAGGCATCAAAGGGGGGAATGTGATGGGATTCCAGCATGGTCAAAATTTAGTAGGCCAAAATCTCCATGTGGCATATGTGTATGTTGTGTCAGTTGATTAGCTACATGTAGCTAGGATACTGTCATCAGTGTACTGAGCATGTGCAGGAATGCAGGAACTGAAATTGCACTTATTTCCTTTGTCTTGGATGAGCAATGTGGTTTGACTAGATGTACAAGTCTATATTCTGCTCATTGATTGGTTAAAGGTATATGTGGGTGTAGCTATTAATGGGAGGAGTTATAGTGCTATATAAGGAATGCACACTATGTGTTGGTCTCTCAGATCCTTTGGAACAGGAGTTCATCTGAGACCCGATCGGTAATGTGAATAAAGGCCTGTTACTTCCTGAAGACCTGTGTCCAATATTTCTGTGTTTGGCTTCTGCATGCTTACACTGCAACAATACCAGTTTCTGATACCTCCGATATAAGTAAAAAGATTTTTCACACTAATTTTAAGAAAAAAATCTACCTTTTACCCCCAACACATTAAGTCACAAAGTATGCGAGTATTTGAAAAGGTGTGTCTCGAAGACCTATACAATATAAAACCCCTTTCAAAATATCAACCAAATTTGACCTTAAAAGAAAAACAAATGTTAAAAGATCTGAAACGGGATCCTTGTATTGTAAGAAAGTCAGCAGATAAAGGGGGTGGAGTAGTAGTCCTTGATAAGGAAGAATACCTAAATGAAATAAGAAGACAACTTCGAGATGCTACTACTTATAAGAAGTTAAATAAAAATCCCACTGCTGAAATAACAATAAAGTATGAGAGCTTATTGGCAGAAGGCCTCGAGAATGAGGTATTAGATAAAAATGAACTAGCATTTCTTCAGATTAGACATCCTAAAATCCCAGTTTTGTAGGTTTTGCCTAAATTACATAAAAAAGTTTAGTTAACCCACCAGACAGACCAATTGTTTCTGGGATAGATTCCATTTTATCTGTTTTATCACAATTTATCGATTTTTTTCTCCAACCGCTAGTTAGAACATGTCCCTCATATTTGCAAGACTCGATGAGTCTTTTAAAAATTTTAGAAGAACAAAAATGGGAGGAAGGTCTTTTATTGATTACTTGTGATGTTACAAGCTTATATACCATAATAGACCATTCAAAAGGAATAGAGGCAGTCACTTTCTTTTTAAATCAGTCAAATGATTTTTTAGATATTCAGATTGATTTTATTGTTAAAGGAATAGAGAAGATTGTAACCAATAATTTTTTTTTTGGTTTGACAGCGATTTCTATTTACAATTTAGAGGCAATGCTATGGGGACCAGGTTTGCCCCCAGTTATGCCAACTTATTTATGTCCTATTGGGAAAATTTGTTCATATACCAGGGACACGGCTGGGGTGCAAACCTGGTCTCATACAGGCGTTATATAGACGATATTTGTATTATGTGGAAAGGTTCTGAAGCAGATTTTAATCTGCTTTTTAATTACCTAAATCTTAATGAATGGGGGATTAATCTTACGAAGAATGTAAGCCCAGTAACTATAGATTTTTTGGATCTTAATATTTATGTTTCTGAACAACGTCTTAAGACCCGAACTGTTTTTAAACAAGTTGACGTAAACAGTTTCATTGAAACTAGTAGCTGTCATCATGATTCATGGCTCCAGAATATCCCCAAGGGTCAATTTTTAAGACTAAAAAGAAACTGCTCAGACCACACTGATTTTATTGCACAGATAAAGTAAATGATTTGGATAGACCCCAGTTATTAAATTATAAAAAAAGAGGAATCAAAACATACAAACCAAGCAAATCCCGCTGATCTTTAATTACTGTAGTAATATAGGGTCATTAAAAAGGATCATAAAGAAAAACTGGAACATTTTAAAGCAAGATCACGATGTCCACGAATTTATTGGTGATAACCCAAAGTTTATTTTTAGAGGGGCAAAAAATTTTAAGCAGATTTTAACTTCTAATTATTTAGAGAAACAGGAAGTAGACAGTAATAATTTTTTAAGCAATTGGTCTAAGACAGCGAAGCGATTTTATCATTGTGGGAATTGTCATGCCTGTAAAAACACTAAAGTGAGCATAAAAAAGAAAGATAACTTTGTATCTAACATAACTAAAAAAAAGGTTCAATATTAATTATTTTATTACATGCGATTCTAGAAATGTCATATTTATTGCAATGTACCTGTGGCTTACAGTACATAGGTAAAACCTCCAGACCCCTAAAGACAAGGATGTACGAACATGTTAAAAACATAAGAAATGGTTTTGTAAATCATAGTGTGTCTAATCATTTTTTAATCAAACATAATTCAAATCCTGATGAAATAGAATATACAGCAATACAGCAGGTTTAAAACCCATTGGAGAGGAGGGAATATTACATTTAATGTAAGTAAAAAGGAATCTAGTTGGATTTTTGAGCTCCAAACTTTATGTTCCAAAGGATTAAATATGGACTTTGAGATAGGTCCCATTTTATAATATAAATAAAAACATTTTGGAAAAAAATCCCTTATTTCTAGTCCCAATTAGCTTTTATACTTTGATCTGTATGTTTTATAAGTATTATTTGCTTAATGTATATATCTACTTCTTATGGAATATGCTCTATATGGTTAAATTCTATTGAGGGATATAATTTCTTACTTTGTATATATACACTTTATTTTATTATATCCAAGTTTCAGCTGCTAACATTTTATATGTATATTTTATATTTCATTTTCTATTCTTTGATAACATATTGTATTTTGACTGAATCAATACTTAATAATCTGACTCTTTATTGCCCTTATACTTTCCATTTTCAAATATGGCCTTTGTATGGACTCTTAATTATACTGGGATGTATTCCGCCCACTCCTCCCCTGGATGAACACGAATACATCACTATACGGCCGCCGGATATGACGCCGCAATGACGAAACCGGAAGCGACGACTTCTGACTAAGACGGAAACCGGAAGTAATGAACCGGAGCTAGCAGCTTATTGCCGCCATGTTGAGAAGGTCAAGATGGACGCATAGAGAATGTGGGGTGATGACGGACATCTTGGGGGAGGCGGGAATACACGGCCTGAGACCGGAAGTATTCCTTATATGGGAAAAGGGGAGGGATTGTTTCATACACACCTGTAATCATTTTTTAATTGTTTGTCTTATAAAAATAAGAGCATTTTCAGTTGTTACCTGCATACTGCACCTGAGGAAGACCCTCTATACTGATTCGAAACGCGTTGTGCTTTTTTTTTTATTGTGTCTCAATAAATTTAATTTATTATATCTATATCTGGCTACCTGGTTCCTGATTTTCCCGACTGAGGACTGCAAACACCTCCTGGGGAACCCAGCTCAGATATATGCACATCTGATTGATGCACTCTGCCTATATAGTTTAGAGCAAACTTATAAATGCTCTAAAAATTGTGAGTTTTTCCAAGCTTCTTGATTTTATACTTTATGTTTAAGCATACTACACTATGTAAGTAATTATTGCAGTTTCTTAGAACCTGCGATAATTACCTTTGCAAGGTTAAGGGAACTAGGACACTGCACCCAGACCATTTCAATGAGCTGAAGAGTTCTTGGTGCCTATAATGTCCATTTAATAGGAAGATGAACACCAAATATATTGGAAATACGTACTCATTTTAAACCAATAGTGGTCCAAACAATGTTCAACTAAGAATCTTGCATAGCGTTTTTGACTTTTGCCCTGTATTCACCACAATTTACAATCTTTCTGTTTAAAGGACCACTCTAGGTACCCAGACCACTTCAGCTTAATGAAGTGGTCTGGGTGCCAGGTCCCTCTAGGATTAAACCCCCCCTTTTTATTTATTTTTTTTTATTTTTTTTATAAACATAGCAGTTTCAGAGAAACTGCTATGTTTATATTAGGGTTAATCCAGCCTCTAAAGCCTCTAGTGACTGTCTCTTTGAAAATCACAGTGAGAAGACGCCAGCGTCCATAGGAAAGCATTATAAATGCTTTCCTATGAGACTGGCTGAATGCGCGTGCAGCTCCTGCTGCGCATGCGCATTCAGCCAAAGAGGAGGATCGGAGGCGGAGAGGAGGAGGAGAGCTCCCCGCCCGGCGCTGGAAAAAAAGGTAAGATTTAACCATTTCCTCTCCCCAGAGCCCGGCGGGAGGGGGATCCTGAGGGTGGGGGCACCCTCAGGGCACTATAGTGCCAGGAAAACGAATATGTTTTCCTGGCACTATAGTGGTCCTTTAAGTGCAGCCATGCATATTATATATAAATTCTTTAATGAGAAATATGGCTTTTGTTTGATACCTTATATGTAAGCAGTTGAACGGAAAGCATAGCTGACTTAGAGAATGTTTTCAGTTCAGCTATTCTGACCTTAAACAGGACACTATAGTCACCAAAACAACTTTAGCTTAAAGAAGCATTTTTGGTCTCTAGATCATGCCACTGCATGCTCACTGCTAAATTCTCTGCCAAGATCCTGAAATCCATTGGCATGACAGTCCTAATTTTTTTTTTTTTTTTTTAACAAATTGAGGTATGTATGTTGCCGTATTCTGCTTGTGTTATTTATAGGCGCCGCAGTTGCTTTGCAGCGTTGTATGTGTGTGTATGTGGGCAGTGGCGTACACACAAACCATGGGGCCCAGGTGAGAAAATGATCTGTGGGCCCCCCCTCCCTACACCCCCCCCCGACAGAGACAGACACACACACATATACATACAGACACACACAGACAGACAGGCACACAAGACACATACATACAAAAAACAGACAGGTACACATACACACAGGCAGACACACACAAACAGACATACACACACACAAACAGACAGACACACATACATACAAAATGTTTAAGTCACCCTCCTGTTTCCTACCTTTAAGGTGCAGGAAGGTGACTTTCCCTGGGGTCCAGTGGTGTCTCAGGTGGATGGAAGTCAGAGTTCTCACTCTGACTCACTCTGCTTCCTCCCGCACGGCTCTCAGTGATAGCTGGGAGGAGTGACGTGCGCTCACTTCCTCCCAGCTTGTGATGTCATCACAGGGGGCCCGGTCGCGCTGACTGTGCCCCCTGACAATCCATATCCATCGGGTGGCCCTGATAGCATGGGCCACCCGATGGACCCCTTGGATGGCGGCCCCGGCGGTTTGCCGCGTGGGCCGGGGCCGCAGAAGATGATGGCGGCGGATACCCGGTCACAGGGGTCCGCAGGGCGGCCGGGTCCCCTGGAGTGGTGGGCCCAGTCGCAGCTGCGACCCCTGTGAAAGCGGTATGTACGCCGCAGTATGTGGGCTGTTATTGTATATATTTATGAATAGTTTGTGAAATTGTGTAGGATACCTATGAATTTGGGATGCATATGAGGGCTGATTGTGGAATTGTGGGTGAATGATATTTCTCAATGTGTATTTTATGATGTGCTTTTGTGGGGCTGCTTGTGTCGTTGTGTATATGGATTGTCAATGTTGTTGTTTGTGGGGACTCTGTTTGTATTATTTCTATGAGGGATTGGCTTATTCTGCAGCTCTGTGTATATCTTGGAGTGTGTGTGTGTGATTTCCCTGTTGTCCAGTGGGGACCGGGCTGGCCAGGTACGGATCAAGGGCAGGAGCGGGGTGCTCTACTCTATTGCAGATTTCCATTCACAAGTGCTGGGAGGAAGTGATCTGAGATAAATGTTGCAAATGTAAATTGAGGATTGTCCCTCTCCACCTGGAATTACTGCTCGGTTTGCATTAGCAGATATCTGAAGTCCCATTGGGACACCTGATGGGTCAGCCTGTTTGTCTCTTGCAGCCTTGAGTACCATGCAAAAGTACCTCTAATGCCATGCATGGCACACGTGCTATAGGTTGTGGACCCCTGATCTATACACTAGAACTGAT